TCGTATTAATTTTTTCACTTCCATTAAGTATACGAATTTAATTTCATACATAAATCTATTTATTTTTTGTTTACTATTTGACTATTAATTTCCTCTGGAATATTTAATTTGTATAAGTCTTGATATTTTATTTAAAAAAATAAATATTGAGAGAATGTTTATTTCAACTTAAAATAATTAAATCTATGTTTATATTAGATGTTTTGGTGTCTGAATATAATATATTATTACAGCTTGAAATTCAACACAATAACAATTAAATAAAATGAGTTTTTTTTACTAGTACATTTATCAAATTTGTAATTATAGACATTTTATTTAATAATTTATGAAACTGTTAATTAATATTAATTAAATATTTGTTTTGAAAGTACTTGTCGTGTTACAAGTTTCATTATTGATGGTTTGATGTCGAAAAATTTATAAAATCGTAAAATTTTAAGTATACATAAACGTTCTAAAGATTATATTTAGATATATTTATAGATATTATATTTGAGAACATAAAGTAGGTACAGGTACCTACTTGAATGTAAAATATTATTTTATAATGTCAACATTTCTGTTATTTTCATTTATGACACTAAATGTAAATGTTGAATTAAATTACAAGTGGAGAAACATATAAGAGTCGATATTAAATTATAAAAGAAGAAATTATTAAACTATGAAAATTAATAAAAAAATTTACTGCTATAAGTGGGAAGTATTATAACTTTCCACTATTCTCCAATGCAAGAAACATCCTCAACCAACCTTCATCGATGGAGGAAGCAGTAGGAGAATACAATACACAACTGATTTATAGCTTCTTCAAATCCATCGGCGTCGACTCAAACATTGAATATTAAGATAAACTGTACAACTAAAATAACCGTAAATATATACATAATTCTGTAAATACTWCTAACCCCATAACTATATAAATCACCAATCACAWCTAAACTATCCATTAATAATAATGTAAATACAATCGCAGGCCAATTACCTAACATTGTTGAAGCCTTTATTCTCATTAAAAAAATTATAAGTTTGTAAATATTTTTCACATGAAAAATTAAAGCTCGATAAGTAATAACATAAAATAAACATAACAGTTGTTTACGATGAAAAGTAGTAGCATTTAATACTTATATAAAATGTAATTTTTTTTTTTTATTATAATACAATAAGGTACTCCTAGCTTGTGCTATCTATACCTAGAGATGAAAGATAAAATACATTTTGGCGTATTAAGTGCGATAAATAAATAAGTTACAATTTTACGTTAGATGAAAACAGTAGTTAGAAAATTAAGTTAGATAGTGTCTTGAGGAATTAGGTGAAAGTTCTTTATAACGAAACTCGTTACAACGAAAAACTCTATATTGCGTAAATATAACATTAAGTTAACTTATAATAATGGTTGGTTTGATTTAAAACCAATTAATTACTCTCTATTACGAAAGCTCACAATAACGAAAGAAATCACATGGTCCCTTCAGATTCGTTATAGAGAGTTTTCACTGTATATATATTATAGGTATCACTGACCGTTCATGCAATGATCATAGTCTATAATAATGCTTATAGTATCATATAAAATCTTGGGGTATTCAATAAATATTGCGGACTATAAACATTTTAAACGATAACAACCAGTATAATTTAAAATATTATATAAAATATTTATTTTAATTCGTAAATGTCTTAATTTTTTCAATCTGTTTTCAAAATAATTTTCATTATTCAAATATTTTTTGTTTGATTTTGTCTCAAGTTATAACTTTGAAGGGCCTAGAGTACAAGTACTTGATATCAGTATCCTCCCTTATCCATCGAGTTTATATTGTAGGTTTTGATGGCTTTTTATTTCACCCTTTACCGGTTTACGGTTCTTCTCTTTTTCAGTCACTATATTTCTCTTGTATGAAAAAAAGACTCGATTACGTGTTTGTCAGCTTGTCTCGCGGGAAGCGTGGTTACGTCACCTTTACACTGTCATGCGAGACAACTTTTCAGTAGTTCCCGACTTATGATACAGTCAGATAATGGTCAAACGTGTCCTTAAAATGGAGTAATATTCTTATTACATTACGATTAAATTTATAAATTTAGACGTATTTGTGTGTCTGAATGTTTATAAGAAGACCCTGAAGCAGTTTTGGCGGGGAGTGCCAACGAAAGAGCGCTTCACTATATTTTCACTATAGTTAATGTCCTAGTATCGATTTTGGAGCGTGGTTGACTCAGGCAGCCGGTCGACTGGTGAGTGGGTGGTGCGCGGGAGGAGATGCCAAAAGATAGGGTGAATGGGCGGTGGGTGGTGGGATGGATAAAATTCTGGCAACAAAGGGGCT